TCTTTATTTCAAGGTTAATTTGCTAAAAAGCGAACTTTTCTGTTTTGTTGGCATGTTGTTTCTTAATTTTAGCAGAGTCTAATGTAGTATTTTAACATTAGCATTAGCCAAAAGGTTGCTGAAGATAGAAAGGAAAATTTTTCAACTTGTTGCTACACCAACTACACCAACAACAACTTTTCAAACGCCACTAAAACAAGCAAAATTAACATATCAAATTTAGATTTTCTGACTCACACAGCCACGCGGCGAGTGGATGGACCCTGGTGTTTCCCAGAGATTTGCCGTTTTTCACTCAAAGTGTCCCGTAATGAATGGCTCTCATACGATCCGGCAGATTAGCATGGCAGAATCTTAATTTGCACGTCGGGGGGAATGTTGGGGCAAGTAATTGTTTGTACACTAATCATGTACAGCAGCGTGTGGGCATTTCCACTTCTGCCTCTGTTGCGTTATTAATCATGACTTGATTTTGACTAGGGCTGCACGATAATGACAAAAATCATAATTGTCGATTATTCCCTTGAAATTGTAATTGCGATTATTAATTATGATTATCACAATTTACATTGATTGATGTTTATACCATTGTTTGATGCAACTGCATGCCGTATTTTTAGATGAAAATAAACAAGCTGAAATCACTCTAACTGAAAAACCGTGCTTTTCTATACTATTAAGCCTCAAATGTCAACTATACATCGGATTGGTTTCTTCTTTAAATTATAAAAAAAATAATAAAATATGAATGGTATTATAATGTTATACTAAAACTAAAACAATGGAAAAACCCTTAAGATAACATGTAGAAAGAAAAAAACATATCTTAAGCGTGCAGAATAACATAAGTGGACTTTGAACGATTAATTGCCGCTTTGAACGATTACGTAATTGTGGCATCCATAGTTGTAATTGCGATTATAAATTCGATTAATTGTGCAGCCCTAATTTTGACCCTGTTGGCCTCAGAAAAGGGCGGCTCATGCCGAATCCCTAATTCCACTCAGCGACTCCTGACGCCTGAGGCCAGTGTGAGCAAAACCAATCATCAGTCACTGCTAAAGCCGCGCTCTACTTGGACTTCACCCGTCGTGAGTGTGGGACTAAGGGGTTTAGAGGAAATTATAGCGGGTTTCATGCTTAAATGCTAAAACCTTATGCTAATACAGGAATAGTGGACTGCACAATCTATTGATTGCATAAATTTGGTCGTTTTTTTTTTAATGAACATTTGCCCCCTTGAGTACTGGAGGACTTATTACAGCACAGTAGTGAAAAAAACAGATTTAACATGTTTTTTCAATGTTTATTTTTTATCAGCAATGTGTTTTTATATCATTGTTCTATCACATATATGTGTGTGTGTGTGTGTGTGTGTGTGTATGTGAATATGTTGCATGAAGTGAAATGATACATGGATATTTTATTGTTTAGAAGTTTTTGCATTTTTGGTTATTTATTTGAGTGGGAAACAGTAGCCAGTAGTAGAATAAGCAAGTTTTCTGTGCTCTGGTGTACCTGTCTCTCTCACACACACCGGTGTCAGTGTGTCTCCGGCGCTCAGGTTGAAGTAGACAGTCGTGCGGCGCTGCATGTTGTGTTCTGGTGCTCAGACTCGCGCGCTGCACAGCTGATGTGACAGCAGCCCTTTCACAGCCCTGATTCAGTGTGGCACTGAAGAGACTAATTACCTCATGTGACCAGACCTCACAAACAGCCCTGCAGCGACCGCCGCTGATACCCACCGCTCCAAAACATGCTGAGAACATACACCAGCAGTAGGGTTGGGTATCGTTTGGGTTTTTTACGATACCGGTGCCAAATCAATACTTTTAAAATGGTACCGGTGCGTTAATAAACACTCGACTGTGACAATATGTGGTTTATTTGTGTTCTTCAAGCCTTCTCTTGTATTTTTCTATTATTAAGTATATTTATAATCCATTGCTAATTGACATAGGCTTTTTTTTTACAGTATAGAACATATTTTCTGCCTCATTCTGTGACAAGAAGACACATCCAATCACAAAAGAAGCATTTGACTGATGTTGAGGAATAAAAATGTTACGTTCTCTTTTGTTGGAAAACAGGTTTAGAAATGCTTCCCATTGCAAGTCAGTTCGGAAGGATAAGGAGAGAGCAACAGACTGTGGCCACCAACTACAAAACCATGTCTCAGTTTCAATAAAATCGTTGCGAGAAAACAATAAAAAGCTGAAAAAATAATAAGCATCACTTATAATATTGTATGTGCAACATCAGCTAAATTCATAAATGTAAATTGATTGTTTTGTAAGGTGAAATTGTTGATGAATTGTTTAAGTTTTTTCTTTTGACAGGCACTGTGATGTCCACATTAATAAATAACGTATACAGGATCTTGAGTTCCCAGAATGCATCATGAAACGAATATATTATACAGATTATTGTTTGTGATTTTATTCTAATACATCTATATGCTAGTATAATTTCTTGTTGATGCTGTCAGGTAAATTGTGTTGCATTTGTCTTTTACCCAGAAGGTGTTTAAACATCAAATCTGGACTGACATGATGGTAAATGATGAGTGTTTTAAATTTGGGTGCACCGTTTCTTTAATTAATACAACACACCACTAGATGCATTTGATATCATTTAGATGTTTATATAGGTCCATAATTTTAATTGGGAGTGTATATATAAATATAGTGTATATATGATTTCTTCTCTTCCAGGTCAGTCTTGAATGGTGGGGAGACATCATTGAATAAAGTTGTTATTTTTGTTTTCTTTGAGCCCAAAAGTATTCTCGTAGCTTCGTAAAATTATGGTTGAACCACTGATGTCACACAGACTATTTTAACAATGTCCTATGTTTCCGGGCCTTGAACGTAGTAATTAAGTTGCTGTCTATGGAGGATCAGAAAGCTCTCGGATTTCATCAAAAATATCTTAATTTGTGTTCTGAAGATGAACAAAGATCTTACACATAATATTACTCATTCCCACAGGCAGAGGCGCCCTATGTGATTTCTTTACCAAGGGTCAGCTAGTAAGCTATTGCGCAACAAAATTGCCCCATAGCACCATCTAGAGTTGTACACTACATTGTAAGTATCTTTCTAACAATATAAATATAAATCAACACCTATATATATATAAATAGTAAAAAGACAAATACAGGTGTTCTGTGAGGAAACATTTAGGTGGTATTTAAAAAAATCTACTAAATCTACTACTAAAAGTCTACTAATGCTCTAATGACTGGTAGTTAACATGTAGTGGCTAAGTTACTTGTAGTTAGTAGAACGTCTAAAGAAGGGGCGGTTCTGGGGGGGGTCACGATTCTGTTGTTATAAATGCAGCGGCCAATCAGAGGCGTTCAGATGAGTCATCGCCGAAACGCCGGTGTTTTGTATAATGCGCGTGCTCGCTGAATGAATTCTGCTCTCTGGCGAATTTTCTCCTCATAAGGCGCGTTTCCATTACAGATTTGCGCAAAACTTTGACGATATTTTCTGAATGTCGATAAAAAAGTATTGCGAAATGACGGCGTTTCCATTAACCAATGTTATGCGGCTAAAACGTAACCTTTTGCCTCTCGCGATAAGTCATGGCAACGGATTTTGGTGGGATTTTGACAGATTTTGGCTATATTTATTCAAAGGAGGCTTATGCGTGTATCTTTACAAAAGCAGCAAAGAGAGCCGCTTCAGAAACGTGCGTGGCGCGGCTGGAATAAACCATATCCTGTATAAAAACATAAACACAAGCGCTGAGTGGCCGTAATCAGCTTCAGTGACCGTATCAGAGCCACACTGCACCGCAGACATGTGCAATGTAAATTGTCTAAGTATTAATAGTAGGGAAAGGAGCAATTTGAAGGGTAATGGAAACGCGCCTATAAACAACAAACAAGTGCAGATGTGCATACAAATGTAAGATATTCATTTCAGAGTGTAAACCGCTTCAGTGATTATAACGGGAGTTTATGAGATGGCTTGAACTCTGGCTAGACTGAAGTCAGTGATATTGTTTTTGATAATGTAAATGTTCTTTGCTCTCTTTCTGTACCATGGAAGTGTTATAATTTGTAACTTACAATGTTTTTATTAAATTCACATTAAATACAAAGTCAATCGTATCAGAAATATTTTATGGCAGGCGTTTTTGCGAAATTGACGCGTTTCCATTAAGCGTATTTTCAATTCGCAATTTCAATTTGAGCAATTTGAAGGGTAATGGAAACGCGCCTATAAACAACAAACAAGTGCAGATGTGCATACAAATGTAAGATATTCATTTCAGAGTGTAAACCGCTTCAGTGATTATAACGGGAGTTTATGAGATGGCTTGAACTCTGGCTAGACTGAAGTCAGTGATATTGTTTTTGATAATGTAAATGTTCTTTGCTCTCTTTCTGTACCATGGAAGTGTTATAATTTGTAACTTACAATGTTTTTATTAAATTCACATTAAATACAAAGTCAATCGTATCAAAAATATTTTATGGCATGACACCCATATCTGATACTTACATAAAAGAGGGTTTTTTGCATAGTTAATAGATTACACTATTATGCTACTTTGAATAAAAAGGAAAAAATAAATAAAACATAAGCCTATATCAGTTATACAGTGCTATTGTGGCTGCAGTGTGTCACATGACACGCATGATGCCACTGACACTACAATACAAACTTATTTGTCGGATAAATGAAACATGATGAAACATTCATTTGAGTTTAAATTGTTATAGCTTACTTCTAGAGATTGCAGTGACCCCCCGCCCAGTTACTGTGGTCTAGAAAAGTGGACCACTGAAATAAAGTGTCTCTGAATGAAGCAACGTCAACTTGTGAGTCAAAGAAACACACATCCGTATTGAAACTGTTTATCTAGAGCAGCATCTTCCCTCATTAACCACATCATTTTCATTGTGCTGAGGACTACACGGTTTTTGCAGCGATCTTTGACGACTACACTTCTTTCAGAGTGAAATGCACGGATTTTCATCCATAATGAAGTTCATCTTTTTCTTAATCTATTCACCTTTTGTTTACTCAGGTGAGATTGATTTCATGATATCATCTAAAGGATGAATTCTCTGTCTGCTAACCAACTTAATCCAAATTTGGTCTAAAGGTTTTAAGAAAAATTGGATCTTAAACTTCTAATTTAGTTTTATTTTTGAATAAGTAAACTTGTGTCTTGCCATGACTATAGCCATAGAAGCTGCACGGCTTTAAAAAAAAGAGAAAAGATTTCTGTCAGCAATGCCTTCAGCTACATCCGTGTGTTGAACTCAGTGTTGAACTCAGTGTTGATTTAGTTTAATTCGTATTTTGAATTAGTTTTATTTTTATATTTTTAGTTTTCATGTAAATTTGTTTACTTTTTAGCAATTTAATTTTATTCTTATTCATATTATTTTTATATACATTTTTATTCTTATTCTTATGTTATTTTCAATTCAATTTTATTTGTATAGTGCTATTCACGATACAAATAATTCCAAAGCAACTTTACAGCAAATTAAGTTTCTACAATATTTAGTTATGTAGGTTTAATTTATTTATATTTCAGTTTTAGTTATTTCCATTAAATAAGTTTAGTGCTTCAACCTAAACTTACTTCAGTTTATTGACAAGGCTAATTTTTCATTCAGTTTTCAAGTAATGTTTATATTTTATTTATTATTCATTTATTTTATTTTAGCTTTATTTGATAACAGAAATGTTGTTAATAGTTTTAGTTATCATTAATATCCCTGGTTGACCTGACAGAAAATCATGAGGTGTTTTTAATCTGATATAAAATTTCCTCAAACATGCTTTAAGAGCTGGTGCCCTTTCAGAGATTATTCTAAATAATGCCATATTATTGACTGAATTTCTCTCTATTAAACTCTGAATTAATGCAATACTTGTGTTTGTTTATTTGTTTATTAATAATACTTTTATTTTCCCCCTTTATTTAAATTTTTTTAATCTAGCCTGGTTATTTGAGTCATATTAATGACTAAAGTTATGCACACTTTAATGTAAATTAACCTGTTAATTGTCACCTGTCTTTTTTGAGCATAGATCTGAATTTACATGGTTGTAATTCATGAATGCTTTGGATTACAGACCTAGGTTGGTCCTTTAAGAAAATAATAACAATTTAAATGTTTAAATGTTCTAGCTGAAGTTTACTCAAAAGCAAATGTACTGTTCTAAACATATTTATTTGATAGAAAATATGTTTTACAAATCAATTTGGACTCCAAAATTGCAATAAAATCCAAGCAGTATGTCCAAACAAGTCATGCTCCAAATTTGAAGTTGATATCACAAAACTTGAGCCTGCAAAAATGTTTTAAAGTAACTTTTCCATGGGAATGCAATATCAAAACTGCTTTCACAGCGCATAATAGGACCCCTTTAAAACCTTTTCAGTGATGCCTTGCTTATAACAAACTGCAAAAGTATTGATTTGAAGTTAAAAGAAAAAAAAACTTTTGTTTTGGTGTCTTGTTGTTTGTTCAGAGTCGCACACCTTCACCACACTTTACATTGGAATAAATGGACATACGATTGCAGGAATCCCAGAGATTTCTTCTGTATCTACTCTGGATGGACGACAGATTGATTATTATGACAGTGAGATAAAGAAGCTGATTCCCAGACAGGACTGGATGAAGGAGTTTGCATCTTCAGACAGATTTAAAGAATACACTGAGATCAGAGAACGAGTACAGCAGACCAACAAAATCGACATTCATTTTTTAATGCAGCAATTCAATCACTCGCATGGTGAGTTACAATACTTTATGCTACAGTTTTATATGTCAAAGAATTAGCTTATACAATAAAAAAAAAAAATATATATATAATATATATACTGTATGTATGTATGTATTTATATATATCACACCAACATTGAGGAACATACCCTGAGAGCGTTCTCTCTTCAGGTGTTCATACGTATCAGAGGATGTATGGATGTGATTGGGACAATCAGACTAGAGCTTCAGAAGGGTTTGATCAGTACAGTTATGATGGAGAGGATTATGTCACACTAGATGTGAAGGAACTCCGATACATCACACCTGTACAGCAGGGAATAATAACAATGCTCAAGTGGAATAATGACAGAGCACAGCTTGAATTACTCAGACAATACTACCAACATGAGTGTGTTCACTGGTTAAAACATTTCTTGACGTTGAGAAAAGTGGATGTAGAGAGAAGAGGTAGCTTGCCTTCGTGAACTTCACTTTGTTTATAATTTTGTTTAGCATTATTATTATTATCATTATTATATTGAATGATTAATTGGCATTTGTCTTTTCTCATGGTTTGCTTCATTAACCCACTGGTGTTCTTTGCTTATATTTTACCTGAAATACTGCATTAATTGAAAAATAATGAAAACATTAGAAACAAATATTTTCAGTTGGAAAAATGGATCATGATTACTGCACAAATATTAATAAGTAACAGAAAATTATATCAAATAGATTTAGGTGTGACTTTTGACCACGAAACCACAAATGTGACTCCCAAATGAGGAGCACTGAAAATAAAAGCTGCATTTATGTTTGAGTTGATCTTATCATTAATTTGAAGTATTAAATATTTTCCTCACATTTTTTTTAGCTCCTGAAGTGTCTCTGTTACAGAAGGATCCCTCGTCTCCAGTGGTGTGTCATGCCACAGGTTTCTACCCAGCAGCAGTGACTATCACCTGGTTAAAAAATGGACAGGAGCACTATGAGGATGTGGATTTTGGAGATTTGCTACCAAATATGGATGGGACCTTCCAGAAGACTGTTACCCTCACTGTTTTTCCAGATGAGTGGAAGAAGAACCAGTATGTTTGTGTGGTGGAGCACGAGGGAAACACCATCCAGAAGATTCTGAGAAAGGACGAGATCAAGAGTAACAACAGTAAGTTCTTAATAGTGTGGTATAGTGTTTTTATAGTTGTTATTTTATTCAGAATTTTCATGTCACATCACACAGGGAACGTGTGCCCAAAA